CAGTTATGGAGGTCTGAAGTGGAAAGAGGCTGAGATCCATATAAAGCTTTCATTTCCTCAAGTGCAGCAATAAATTGCTCTTTTGTGAATTGTTTTTTGACACCAATGCAGTCCCAGAGCCTCTCAAATTTGGAGAAGATGACTGGAAGTACATAGAGATATGGTTTCTTTTCAAATTCTTCACTTCTGGCCACTGCCTTCATATTTACAAAGTGATCCTCAATTAAAATGAATGGAAATGATTTTGCATGGCCAATAATTGGATTGGGATCTTTCTGTTCCAACAAGTAATTGTTGAGATATTCATAGCAAGACTGAGCAATGTTGAAGATATCAGTCTTTTCAAATCCATTGCAGTATTGGTGTGCTTTTAACAGCTGCTGAAGCACCGTCTCAACTTGTGGATTTGTCCGTACTCTCAATTTCTGGAGAACTGAATCATAACTATGTATTTGAAGTTTTGAATGATCAACTGTGAATTCTGTCATGCTTACTAAATTTCGACAACTTTTACTATACACTTCAGAGGGTTTTTTAAGAACGGTGTTGTTCTTGTTTTTCTGATCTAGAGGAGATAAGGCAGGAAGGAATGGTATTTGAGACAGTGTGTGCCAGAGCAAGGAATTTACATCTTCTGTGGAGTCTTTCATTAACTCTATGAGACACTTAATACGTTTTTGACATTTAGATGTATCCTGCTGCCAACCACTGGATATCTTCCCTGCTCTTTCTATGATGTCTTCCAAAGGGAGGCGGTCACTCAGCATTCCCAAATCGGAAAGTCGTTGAATTCTTTTTGGTGAGAGATAGTTATTTGCAGTTCCCTCAAGAAATCGTTCTTCCTCAAGTTCATACAAACAAGCCACTTTGCCAGAAGGATTCACAAGTCGATTGATAAATTGAAGCTTCTGACATTTCTGTGTTGGAATGCAAGGGTAACTTTTCAGTATGTCATCAACAGCAGGATCATTCAAGTCGATGGCATTCAGAACAAGCACATTTCTGTTATGTGTGTTCACAGCACTCAAGTTCTTAAACACAATGCTATAAAACTCAGGCCAGTTGATCGTTTTCTGTTTGATCATTTCCTTGAAGCCACAATCATTGAAACTGTCTCTTACCCATGTTGGGAGAGAAACAACACAGGAATATGAAGCTCCCAAGCTCAAGAACACTTTCATGGCAATGTCTCCAACTGCTTGGTTCTTCTCAATTTTTGGATTCAGAAATCTTGCCTTGTCCATAGAACACCAATTATGTCCATTGCTAAAAAGATCCAGAGATTTACCATTGCCATTCTGCGCAACTGCTGAGTAGAAAGACTCAAACAGGGGTAAAAATGCTTTGCTTACTCTCTCTGCATTAGGCCAGAATGCATAGAAGGAATAGTTCTGGATGTGTCCATTTTGGGCCATCTTCTTCAGCTCAAGCAGTGTTGTGATGTAAGCAGAGGTTACAGCATCTTTAAGTAAAGCTTTGTTCCACTCAGACTTCACTCCTTTTTCCCATAGGCCTTTCCTATTTGATGTGACTGCGAAAGTCCCATTCACATGAACTGGAAGACCTGTCTCAATTGAGAGAGGAAGAAAACAAAAAGCCTGGCCAGAGAGGCTTTCATCAGGAGACCATGCATTAGTTTTTGCTTCTCTGTGCAAAGGTACAGCTATACCTCCAATTGGAAATGAAAACACATGCTCTTGATCATTTCTTTTCTGGAACATTTGCAAGGAATCCTGAGTTCCAAAACATGAGTACAAAAGCCAGTACTGGGTGAGGGATCTCTCTGAATGCTCCTGAACTATTTGAACAATGTGTGCTCTGTTGACATCAATAATGTTGTGGCATGTGATATCAGTATTTCTGAAAGTGCTCTTGATCTCTTGGAGATATGTATCATTCGAGACAGCAAAAGAATTCATGACTTTTCTGGATATTTTGAGAGGAGTCTGAATCTGATCATGCATTAGAGGAGTTGATGCATTTTCAGGGACAATTTGAAGGGACAGAGATGTAATGCTTTTGAGAAACAGTAGGTGAGTTTGTGAGTTGTCAGTCCAATGATTTTTAATACTCCTAATGCGATCTTCGTCATATACCTTTGAACTGATCTCTGACTTGTTTGCCTCCTCCAGAGTGCGAAATGGTAATTTAATCAAGGTGCCATTATAGGATTTCTTGCTGTTTTGCACTGACAGATCACAATCAAAAATACCTTCATAAGATTTAAACTGTCCAGGAAACCTTTTGTAAAGCCGTTCCTGGAATGGGTCGAGTTTAATTCCAGGGTTTCCTTTGCTGAGTATGTGCTTTTCCAAATGGGTGATATTTGGATCAAGTATGAGAAGGCTGTTCCCACTCAAAATCGAGGGAATATCACTCACATGGTAAACAGCATTAAATCCAAGCCCAAACTTTCCAATCATCTTAACTTTGTTTTCCTTTGATGCTGATCCCACTTTGACAATGTTTCTCCAGTCTTCTTGTGAAAAGAGCTCGTTGTTGAAGATCCAAAGGCATGGTCCATTGCAGAAGGCCATTCCATCATCAATGAGGGTTTCAGGGGGGTCTCTGTGTTTTCGGAAGTCAAGGAGGAATTTACATGTGGTTGCCCCAGCATCCTCAGCATTTTGTAGGAGTTCTTTGAAAATGTCACTTTCTTCATCATACTCTTTAAGAATGTTCTTAATTCTTTGAGTAATTGGTTCAGATTGCCCACATTGTTCTATACCAAATGACTCTTGCTCTGCTTGTATTAACTGTGGTTTTAAGATGCGAGTACTTAAGAATGGGACTTTCAACCATCTTGCAGTGAGGGGTTTAACTTCCTCATGAATGACATAAAATTCCTCATTGTCTTGTTTCAGGTCATCTAGTGCTTCAGCACTTATGTCACAGAAGACTGTTTTGGACAAAGACTGGAGAGTACATTTTTGGTTTTGTGCCATGACAGGCACAGGTGTGCTGTCCTTTAAAAGCTTCTCATTCTTTCGTATCCAGTCAAGAATGGCAATTGACACTTCAAGTTCTGTCGAGTCTCCATGAGGAGGACACCTGCGGTCAATTCTATGTTTTATGTCATGGAGTATGCCTTCAATCTCCTCGTCAGAAAGTGTTTTCTTCACACCAAATTTTGTTAGCAAGTTTTCATATCGCAAAAACTCTTCAGGCACTTTCTTGATGTAAGGACTTAGATCCAATCCAGGTGGATAGGCTAAAACTATATCTCCTGGACAGACAAACTCACTTTTATTCCAGATCCAGGGGATGTATTTTGTGTCCATTAAATCTCTGAAATTTCTCATGTTGTCCTGCATGAATTTATAGATACTGTGCAGCTTGGTTTTAAACTGAAAATCTGAATTTGGGTTTACCATTGATCTCAGTGCAGAGAGGTTCTCCAAGACTTTTTCAGCAGGAGGGGGCTCATAAAGTCCAAGACTGTTGCAGACATGTTTGTTTAGCTCAGAGCTAAGTGGCATTACATATCCAACAATTGAAGAATACACTGAATCCCTTACTTCAGTAGGCTTATACAAACCTCGCTTTAGATTTCTGCAGATGCTTCCATTCAAGAACTCTGGATTTTCACAAGGCACCCACTTCCTTTGCATCAACTCTCCTATCTGCATCTTGGTGAATTTGGAAAGGAAATCATTCGCATTCAGTACTCGAACAAGAGTATGTGCTTTTTTGAATGCCTTATCTGGTGAGTGGACACAAAGCTTTTCAATATGATTTATGACTTGGAGTATGTTTGCTGTTGATAGTTCTTTTTGGTCTGTCTTTAAGCCAAGACGTTGCAAACTCTGAAGCATTTCCTGGGTCTTTGTGTAAATGGGTGGGGGAAAGAAATCTCCTTCAAAAAGGTCCTGGAATGTCTTGTTTCTTGGATCAAAAACATTTGAGGCTTGTTTGCGTTCTCCCTGAGTTGTCTCAATAAAATTGAGACTTTTTGTTTTTGTGAACAGCTGCTCACTTTGTGAGAGTAGAATGCTACCATTATTTAGAATCCAGGTCATTATTGTCTGTTCCTCACCATTTTTGAAAGAGCCTGTCTTAATGCAGTCAACCAAATGAACAGCTACTTTTGCTGCATCCAAGAGTTCAATATTCAGAAGAGTCAAAAGTCTGCGATCAGCTTCATTTGCACACTGTACAATGGTGTCAGGCATTGGCAGATCATTTGGAATGGCTGGATTGGTGGTTGAAACAACTGCTTGCTTTGATTTAACTGCAACATATTTCCCAGACATCATTTTGAAGATTGGCAACATGGAAAGTAGGTTCTGTTCAGCAACTGAGAGAGAATCCAAAGAAGAGAGGTACACTTTCAACTCCTCTCTTTCATGTGATGAAGCAGAGGCAATGCCTTTGATGACCTGATCTCTGTTGGAGTTCACAATGACTTGTAAAACATTTCTTGGTGAAGCTGGAAGAACATAACTCTCAATGTAATGATGTCTAAGACACACATCTCTTTTTATGACTGTACATCCCACCATCCTTAACACTTTCTGAACATTATTTGACAAGTTGGACCCTGTGCTACTCTGAAAGATCAAAGTTGTGTTACTCTGCAACCTTGCTAACAATATAGAATTGCCTGAACTCTGCAGTGGCTCCAGTGGTATTAAAGGCATGTTAATAAAGCTGCTTAACTCATTCCATTCAGCGCTAAGAAACTTCCAGAATTCAGCCAGCCAGCTCTTTGGTGGATGATGATCTTCTGTTGTTTTCCATGTCACATGACCTTGGGTCACTTTCCAGTCCATGGGTAAGTGCTGCTTTGTGAGTGCAACAACATGTTGTGCATCCAAACTGATTATGTTGTATATGCCTGAAACACACACAATATTAATTTCATATTATTATAAGCATTCCAAATAAAATATATGAAACTATTTTCTTACTCCTTGTTGCTAGTTTCCTTAATTGCACAGTGCAAAAATGGCTCAGATCGTTGGGTAAAAACCTCTCTTTACAAAATGGCAGCAATTTATGTTGTATATGCCTGAAACACACACACACACACACACACAATATTAATTTCATATTATTATAAGCATTCCAAATAAAATATATGAAACTATTTTCTTACTCCTTGTTGCTAGTTTCCTTAATTGCACAGTGCAAAAATGGCTCAGATCGTTGGGTAAAAACCTCTCTTTACAAAATGGCAGCAATGTTCTAAATAAAGAAAAAAAAATATTATTACTATTCTGACAGCACAATATAAACACACTAAATAATTCAAGTAGGAAAGAGACTCAAACTTTACCTTGGAAACTTCTCATTGTCAATCAAAACAGTCTTCTGCACTCCATTCCCAAATGAAGTGAAGGTTCCATCACTGAGAGGAAGAAGCTTAAGTCCTTGTAGCTCTGTGTACTTTTCATCAATGAGAGCAAATTCAAGAAGAGAGTATTTGTCATCTTTACTGAGATTTTCAGCCTCACTTCTGCGAAGGACATCTCTAACATAAGATGGAGTCACCCATGTCAAGGTATCACTTTCAGGGAAGATTTCTTGAACATCTTTCAAAACATGTTCTGGGACTGTGACCAGGTTCTCTCTTTTAGCAATCAATAATCTTGACACTGCAGACATTGTGTCACGACGTATATTGTTTACTGGAAAAACTGCGTCTGAGGGAGACACCCAGATTTGCTCATTATCAGCAAGGTGAAAGATCTTGTATTCAAATAGACCTTTCAGAGTATTTGTTGCAACTTTATGCCACCTCTCTTTATGTACAGTCTTCGATAGGTCGGGCCAAAGATTGTACACAGTAGGGGAAGGCAGGGCTGATTTTTCAGATAATTGAATGGCATCTCGGATCATCGTGAGATATACATGGGGAAGAATATCTTTTGTGAGCAGCTCATTCCACATCGCAGACTCATCATTCTTCTGATCCTCCTCTTGCCACTTGATGAACCTCCGATTGTCTGTCAGGCCAAAGCAAGCATTGATGTGAATGGGAAGCCCAGTTTTGTTTGGTTCATTATTTGGAAGTGGCAGAAAGCAACTTAGTCGCCCATTGCAAAGTGATCTGTCTTCATCTAATCGAAACGCTGCATCAACTTGAGGGTAGAAGCTCAGCTTATTAGCTAGAGAGTCAATCTCTGGTATATGTCCCTGTTTCAGAAGGCAAGTTGTCACAAGCCACTGGGACCTTGTTTCTACCATTTGCTGGCAAATCTGTGATACTGTTTTAAAACATGTTTTTCTGTCAAACAATTCTTTCTTGATATAAGAAAGGTCAGTGATAAAGTTATTTGACACTGAAACTTTGAGCCTGTTGTTGCAGAGGCCATTGGTGTCAATATGTAGCAAAGTAATGGATGACACATTTCTCAGGAAAAGAAGACTGATGTCCGCATCAGCAATGAAACTGTCAAATAGCTGATTAACTTTTTTGGAGTCATATAAGTTATCTGAGATCTCTGAAGCCTCATTACGCAGAGGGAAACGGAAGAGCGTTCCTTTAAAGTATTGCTTCTCACTGATGACCTTCTCCCAGGAACAACTGTTGACTTGATTGACAATATTTTGAAAGGGCTGAAACTGATCTCTGAATTTCAAAAGGCTCTCTCTGTCCTCTTCATCATTCAAAGACCATCGATAGCCTTCTTCATCCTCTCCAAACATCTTCTTTTGTGGGTCAAAAATGGCTAGGTGTTCAGAACTGACGACACATGGCAAGTCTGTAAAAAACAATACAAATATATTTTTTAAATTGTTAGCATCACTAGTGTTGTGCTAAAGCCCCTGTCAGAATCTAACATCCAAAGTACCCTGATGGCCAGTTATTTGTTAAAACTGATGTTGCAGTCAATCAGGTAAATGCAATCAGATTGTTGATAATACACTGTAATCAGGATGCACCGATTCTGGCCAATAGAGATATTACATTTATTTTTATCCTGAAATTAGCACTTTATAAGGATCACAACAACATTATAATAAATGGTCACATTTAATTTTAAGGTTCAATTCTCACTATTAACAAACCGTAAACTACGACTAATAAATAAACTCCTAATTTGCTGCTTATTAATAATTAGTAATGTAGTTGTTAAGTGTAGGTATTGGGTATGATTAGGGATGTAGAATATGGTCATACGGTACAATACATATGGTACAATATATATATATATATATGTACTAATAAACAGTCAATATGTTAATAATAGGCATGCTAATAAACAACTATTTAATAGTTAGAATTGGTCCCTATACTAAAGTGTTACCTAATAAACAGTTTGGGGACTGGCTAAATACTGTATTTAATAGTGTTATTAAATGCATGTTATTTTTAGTGTCATTAACTTGGATGATGAGTTAGACATGATGGAAAATTACATCTAAATGTAAAAAATGGTAAATGACCATGAACAATAAAATGTCCAGCATCACATTTTACTATTAATAATAGACTGACCATTATACAAGGTTACTTTAATCTGTAACAGTGTATTTCTGTTGTGATACCTAATAAAATTGATAAGCATATAGCCTACCCTCTGACAATTTAACAGCATAGTAGAATTCAAAAGGCAAATTCATTCTTTTAAACACATCATTCCGTCAAGCTAATCTGTAAGCATACTAACCATTAGAAGGCTGAAGATACAAAAAAAAAAGGACATTTGATTTGATCATTAGTAGCTTAGTTTACATAATGTGATATATAATTAAAAAAGATATTAACTGACATATTGTGATGTTAACACTTCTTAATCAACAAGCCATACTGTAGGATTTCTAATCAGAAGGCACTAAAATACCTAATAAAGTTATATGAGACAATCTGGTAATGTAACACATTTTACCTGTAATATGATAAACTGAGTTGAAACCTATCCCAAATCTCCCAACTTTTGTTGGGTCATCCTGCTTGATGCTTCTGCCAACTCTCTGAATACCCTCCCAGTCTTCCTCTGTAAAGGCTGCATCATTGAAGGCATAGAGAGCAGGTCCTACCAGATCAAAGTTACAAATGGTCATACAAAAATGATCAAACAAAAAACTTTAACATTTAGTTTTTTGCATAGTAAATAATTTCAGTACTAGTCCTAGCAGATAAAAATGAATCATATCTCCAATACTGTATGCACTCTTGTGCACTTATTTGCAGCCTATTTATTTAGGACTAAACAGTGATTTTGACCTAGTTTTGGATATCTGAGATACAGTTTGAGATACAACAGTGGCAACTGTTTTTTTTCAAAAGAGGTGAAGCACAGATCTCTGTTATTAATGGCAAAGTGTTTTTAAAAGTTTGATTTAGTATAAAAAGTAATTAACTTAACTAAATAACTCAAAAAACCATTTACAAACAGAAGATAAGCTGCACAACTTCTTCATCGCTGTAACATGAATAAGGAAGGATAGGTACCCAAACAAATGCAATGCCCCTAGAGTGTAATATCCTTTGCTGCAGGCTCTAAAATAATTTTGTTTCTAGTGTGACCATCCTTTAAATCTGCTCCCATTGTTTAAAAATACCTTGATATTTTCTGAGCTCTTCAGTCCACAGGCTGTGAGTCTCATAATGTCTCTCATCATGAATAAACACCACAGTTGAAGCTCCTGCATCATCTGCATTCTGTATCAGCTCCTGATATTTTATTAGATAATTATTATTGACAGATGATATATAAGGTGCATACCATTTGATGCAAAATGATTCATGCAATATGTAAATATTTTTTTATTTTAATTTTTTACCTACCTTCAATATTTGTCCCCCATCTGGGTACCTTCTCAAAATTTCTTTCAAGTAATCAATGAATGGTGGAGACGTAGCACCAAATTTATTTCTACATTGAACAATGTAAAGTTTATCACAAACTGCACAAAAATGCATACAAATCAAACTCAAGGTTCAATGTGTAACAGATAAAGTAAAAAATTAGATTAATTAATGCAAGTCAATTGTTAGTATGCTTGGGATTATTTGTAAAATATATTAGTCTTATTACTGAATTTTTCATAAACTCCTACATACTTTACTAACAGTTCACTTTTAATCAGATATTAAAGGGATAGTTCACCCAAAAATGAAAATTAGCCCATTATTTATTCACCCTCAAGGCATCCTAGGTGTATATGACTTCCTTCTTTCAGATGAATCCAGTCAGAGTTATATTTAAAATTGTCTTTGATCTTCCAATTTGTTTAATGGCAGTCAGCGGGTGTAGCAGTTCATCAGTCCAAAAGAAGTGAAATGAAGTGCATCCATCCATAATAAAAAGTGTCTCACACGGCTCCGGGGTGTGAACAAAGGCCTCCTGTATTGAATCGATGTATTTTTGTAAGAAAAATGTCCATATTCAAAACGTAATAATCACTTTAATCTAGCTTGCGCCAACAGTTGTACACGGAAGCAGCTCCGGGAGGATGACGTATGAGGTCAGTGTTGCGCATGCGCCGGTGAGTCTCGTGAAAACCAACGTTTGTTTACAGGACTTTACAGGGTTTAAAGTTTCTTTACAAATCCTCGTTTTGTACTTCTAATAAGTGACCGTTGTTTTGTTTTGATCTCTCCCCTGCGCTTCAGTGTTCGTCACTTCTGAGCGGCGCATGCGCAACACCAACGTCTTACATCATCTGCCCGGAGCTGCTTCCATGTACAACTGTTGGCGCAAGCTAGATTAAATTGATTATTACATTTTAAATATGGTTATTTTTCTTACAAAAACGCATCGATTTGCTACAGGAGGCCTTTGTCATTTTCTAATTTTAATTTTTGGGTGAACTAACCCTTTAAATTGGCTTAAACATAAAACATGCAGTGAATAAAATCACTTACTTCTTTTTCTTCTTTTGCCTTGATGCTGAACTCATTGTCTTTCTTTTACAGTCTCCTGTGTGGTTAAAAAAAAGCTGTTTAAAAAAACAATTAACTTTCAAAAATCTTAAAAGATGCATTCCTTTGAACAGTTGTTCTTATTCCATTGCCATTGTTATAATATATATATATTTTCCATGTAGTAGTTTGCACTGCTTTCTTGGGTCTCTTGTGGCCTATAGCTACAAAACAGTTCACCTTGCAAAATCTGCAAAATATTAATAGTTTAAAAAATGTAAAAGCGTTTATAAAAATAGATTTTTTTTTCCGTACTGCCCAGAATAAGCTATTTCATAAAACAGATGTATACGTATAGTCCAAAAGGCAAAATAATTATTGAATTTACACAAACCAATCAGTTCAAAAGTTTACATATACACTTGATTCTTAATATTGTGTCTCATAACCTGGATGATCCATGACTGTTTTATGTTTTTTAATAGTTGTTCATGATTCCATTGTTTGTCCTGAGCAGTTAAACTTCCTACTGTTTTCTACCATCTTCTGAATACTTACCCCTCCAGTTCTACTCTGCTCTGATCAGGATTTGAACCAGTGTTTCCGGCATGGGAGGAGGGCTCTCTAAATTAATGTACATTCTGCAATGTGTCACACGTACACTTTTTTTTTATCATATCTTTCTGATATTCAAAGGTCTCTTAAGCCTTCTACAAACTGTGTGATTTCATCAATCTTATAAGAATATTACAGATTACATTCACACTGTGCAACATGTATCTGATAAACTTGGGTACGACATGCATGCAGACTGTACGATGATGACGTGCTAGTGGTAAACAAAAAGAGCATGACGAATCACAGTTTGGCAGCTGTACTTTTTATGTGTGCTGAAAAAAAGAAGAAGCTGCAAAAGAGGAGGGAAAATAATTTGAGGTAAGCAGTTTTAAATTTTAGCACCATGTCGCTGAACAACACGCTATTTCATGTTGCACTTTTATTGGCTGGTCAGTAAACGTAGGTCATAGCAGGAAACACACTGTGCGCTGATCATGCTGAATTTCTGACACTGTCAGAAAATGATCGTATAGGCTATCTTTGGTCACAAGACTGTGACAACAGCCATCTTTGAACCTCTCTCATTGTACGACATAAGACCACCGTTTAGGATCCACGATCACAGAAATCGCCACAATTGTTTCACGATGACAATCTTTCATCTAGGACAGTCGAAAATCATGCAGTGTGTCCTGTGTTTTACAGCCCTCCTCCTCAGGGTCACCCTTCAATTCCTTTATACTGTATTCAGTCACCACAGAAAATGAGTATACTTCAAAAATGTCAAATATCTTAAGTTATAGGCTAATTGCTTTTATACTGTCTTGTAAGGAACTGTTATTATATGTCAGGGTCCTGCCGTGACAGTCTTGTCGCTGTTTAATGTTTCTTTCTTTGTCCTGTGCTTAAGCACTTTGTCTTTGTTTGTGTTGCTATGTGCTCCTCTTGTCTTGCCCCCTTGTTTAATTCTCGTTGGGCTGATTGTGTTCACCTGATCCTCTGTTCCCTATTATATATATCACAGTTATGTTCTAGCGTACATGTCTAAAGTATATCAAAAAGAATAAATCAGTCTTATAAACTCCTTGCTTTAACTTATAATCTGCATGCACACTAAACTATAGTAAAATTTATTTATATTATATAAGAAAATTTCTTGCAGGTTTTAATGAAATGTTATTTAATAACAGTATGTGTCCAGTACATGCCTCAGGCTTGCATAGTATTGTTAAATCACTTATCGGACTCCTTAGTAATCCTCCTTAGATCCTGAACCTGCTCATTTTGTTATTTTTGAGTCAGACATGCTACTTCAGCTGTGTGTCTTGTTTCGACAACTCGGAAATAAAGTTAAATTAATTTGTTCCCTGTCTTGTGTTGTACAATTTGCATTAAAAAAAGTTCTATTCAGTTCCATTTTGTGAACCCACTCAACCGGTTACTTCCCTGAGAACCAGCTCAAAATAACTATTTGTTCAAGAATCAGATATCACTATTCCATGCAATTTGATTTTTTTTATTTTTGCAAGTTTCAGGTATTTATTCTTAGTTTTATTTTTCATTTGTTTTGTTTCTCTAGTCATAGTTTTTTACATCAGGTTTTATTTTGTTTAATTTATTATTTTCTCTCTTGTGTCATGCCTTGTGTCAACACCTTGCATCCAGTGTTGCCAATTTGGGGATTTTGTCGCCAAATTTAGCTACTTTCTCATTGTAGCTGCAACTTTTTTTTATTTTTTGCGACAAGGAGCTATTTTAGCTATATTTAAATTAAACTAGCAATTTTTTGGCGATTTTTTATTTTTTACTTGGCCACACCCTGCCGTAGGCCCGTGACCTCTCACGTTTGCTCTCAATCTCTTGTTCATTGTGAGTCTTGTGTTCATTCCTGCCCCGCCCTGTATCCTGATGTTTCCTGGCCACTGACTCTCACTGCCTGGCAGCATGACTGGTGTATCTGTCTGATATACTTAAGTGTCAAGCCTCTGGCTCTGTGAGCCTCCACCTAGAAGCACGACTGGTTCTACATCTGAGAAATCAAGCTTATGGTTTCTGCATGGTCTTCCCCGCCATTATCCCGCTTGGTGCTCCCTCTTCCTCCACAACCCTCAAGCCTGTTGTCAGACTGGTCTCAGTGGTCACCCTCCCTGCCTGTCGTCTGCCCTTCCCTATACTGTTTGCACTGTTTCACACCTCACTCTCCTTGTGCTCCGTGTACAGTCTTATCAATAAAACACCATCACTACTCAATCCGGGTCCTCTCTCTTGCAGATCCGTAACAATATATTTATTCCTTTCTTATTGTTTCAAATGTAGCTAGGAGTTCAATTTGAGTTGAAGAGGAGTTAAAAAAAATAGTATAAACTGCTAGTTACATTGTTTCTCTTTTTCTCTGCTTAAAGTTACATTATATATGTTATTTATTCACCTGTGGTAAAGGTATAGGTAACCCAAAAATGAACATTTTGTCATTTACTTACCCTCAAGTTGTTCCAAACCTGCATGAGTTTCTTTCTTCTGCTGAACATAAAATAAGATATTTTGAAGAATGTTGGTAACCAAACAGTTAGCCATTGACTTCCATAGTATTTTTTTTTTCATACCAAGTCAATAACTAGGCTACCATCAACTGTGTGGTTAATATTCTTCAAAATATCTTCATTTGCAATCGTTGCATATTTCATCGTATATTTTCTTTATAGGTATTTTTTAAGACATATAAATATATTAAAAGATATTTGTTTCCCAGAAGACGATATAAAATCACTTGTGGACTAGCCTATATGAAAACACACGTGTTACCTAAAGTAGCGTATCAGATGCTAAATGAATGAATGAATAAATAAATAAATAACAATTTAATAAAATTAAAATATAATAAAACCACATTTTGCAGAACTGCAAGCCAAACCTCTAAACTGGTATGAAAGGAACTCAATAAATGGAAGTAGTATAAACGTTCAGAAGTTGTTTGCTTATGCCTTGCATCAGCCAAAATAGAAAAGATCTAGGCTATATTGTTATGTTATATTAGTTTAATACTATAGCCTATTACTAAATATTACTATAACTAAAAATTGCATTTCAAAAACTCATGTAACTTCTGCATGAGGTTTTCTCCTACCTTTAATGGTCCTTATGGGTCATGATGATGCTTCCACTCGTATACCGCAGAATGAAAGCAAAGCGATCAGAAGGACACAGTTAAACCCTCTCAGTGCGCACAATTCGAATTGGCACACGCAAAACAGGCTATTTTCGGAGAATGGAAACCTAAAGAACCCTCTAGGTTTCCGTTCTCTGGAAAGAGCCTGTTTTGCGAAAATGAAACGTACACTGCTCTTTCACGCTAAGTTCAATGAATGACTCCGGAAAATAACTGTTTTCACGCAGAGTATCTCCGAATGTACAAAACTCTCAGGAATACTTGAAAACAGAAATATTATTTTGCGTGCGCCTTTAGGGCACTTTGTATTTTTAATCAATGTCAGTTATTCTCAAGATCAGCTCCTTTTAATGCAGCAGATAATCAGGCATTTAAAAACGTTAAATATGTTTCAGTTAAACGAGCACCACAGAAATTATGGCGAGGGTGATATGATGACACCTACATGACTATCGAAAGAGAAAACACCTGAACAGAAATAATAATAATAATAATCATATTAGGTCTACTATAGGCCTACTATACAATAAACAAATAAATAAATAAACAAATAAACAGAATTATGAAAGCCTTTCCCCTGATAGCACACATAGCCTACATCTCGGAGACGTCTATTTGATGTCTGCATTTACATCTGCAAGACGTATTTTTTAGAGTGTTTGCTCATCTGCAATACGTCTATAGGACGTTTCCTGTTAGATGCCAAATAGACGTCTATTAGATGTCTTTAAGATGTTTATGATTTAGAATGTATGTAAAACTGACATCTGAAAGACGTCTGTCAGATGTTTGTCCAAAGCAGATGCTTTCCAGATCAAGAGATCTTTAACAGACATCTTGCAGACGTACATGTGCGATCTTAATGTATTATGATTTACGGTGGCACAAATAAATTGAATGAGAGTAATTTAGCTGAAATCTGTATTTACCCTATTTATTAAGGGATAAGTAAACATAATTGTAAGTGTTCTTGCCATTAGACAACTTTTATTTTGATAGCATGACAGGCTGCTTAGGCTACTCTATGGCTTCCACGAAGGCGAGAAACTGATTTCCGTACAGACTAGTACCAGTGATAACATCTCTGTCAGTTCGTGTGATTTTCGCAAAAACCTGAAATGCATTACATGTCGCCATCCTACATTAATCTCCGTCCATCTGCGGTGATTTAGAGTATACTAGAACCACATGGACAATCTGACGCGAGTAACTATATGCAGTGAATAATGTAGCGAACTAAGAGATATTAATAAAAACTTAAGTTATGTTTTTGGAGGAAACGGTGATGAAAGGGGTGAGTTTGCATGTTTGCAATTGCTCTTGGATGTTGCGTAATCACGAACGGGGTGAACGCAGGACATGAGGAAATCTGTCTTATGTCCTCAAAATGTTTCCACTTTTTAACTCACCCTTGCGTCACATTCATTTTTGCTTGTCTTGTTATATATATAACTGGGCGTGGTATATATATATATATAT